AACTACAGCACTTCCATGCAGTTATCAACTACAGCACTTCTATGCAGTTATCAACTACAGCACTTCTATGCAGTTATCAACTACAGCACTTCCATGCAGTTATCTGTAACAGTCAATTATTATTGAATCAGTACATTTTCATTTGGCATAACAAGGAAGCAAATTTCCATAACCATGACGTGCCATATGTTCCTTGCTGCTGTACAGTCATAGAAATCCACTGAAAATGTAGACAATCAGATAATTTGAGTAATATATAACTTTCTTAAATAATTGAAATTAAAATGATTTTGAAACATTGAGTAGCAGTTTCTTGAAAARTTTATATTTTTTAGACTATTTGCCTTTGGGATATCAGTGCAACTACTAAGGTATGTATCATTGATTAGTAAACATGTTTTAAGTGACAATCCTCTATCCCTCTATACTCTCACACTCYCTACCTCTACATAAAGAATTTTAGCACACAACACTCTTCACATGTTGATTTTTGCTGAGGGAGGAAAACCGGAGGACCCGGAGAAAAGCCCTTGTGGCAAGGAAGAGAACAGCACATCAAACAAACTCAAACTCACATATGGTCCATGCCCGGGAATCGAACCCGGACCACAYCGGTGAGAGGGCAGCAGCTTAACCACTAGGCCACCCATCAACGAAGTGGAAATTTGCACTGAACTACCTAAATGTTTAAACTGATCCCAAGGGACAATACAGTTTTAATCAAAGTTATTATTAGTTTGTGCTTACCTTTCCAGTAGAGTACAAACATTAAATGTGTGCAACACTTTCCACTATTTACTACAAAATAGTGTTAATTAAACAATAGAAAACAATAGAATTAGATAATTTAGCAGTATTTATGTTGCACAGTTTTAGTGTTTGTACTCTATTTACATCAATTGTTCAAATTTTGATTTGAGTACAATGTTCCTCATTAATTTGTAAAACAAAGTGTGAAACAGAACGGAATATATAGTCTTCTAGAAAAAAAGAAGATTGTTGTCTTTGAATCGTCTAAATTGTTGTTTATCCATGAGACGAAGTCTCTTGACCAATCAGAAATCACAAAAATTAACAGTAATGTGGAAAATTATAAATTTGCAAACTCCAGAATAGGGTTACGCTAAACCTATCTACACTCAGTACTTGAACCCCCTGTTTAAAATTATATCAAATTTGTAATTTTGATAGGAACAGAAAACTGTGGACGCATCCAGAATATTTACAGGGCACGAAGCTGTGGTAGAGGTAAGAATTATGCAAACAGCCAGTGCTATTCTAGTTGAGTTTATTGTAAGAGAGCTGTGTTGGATTGGATTCAGTGTGAACCACATATTGAGACTGCACAATATTTATCAAGAGGGGGGAGGGGGAGGCATCTAATTTTATATTAACTTTTTTGATCTATTTTTTGGCTCATTTCTCCCTTAATAAGAAAGGAAATAAGACAATCCATATGAGATATCAAATTGCTGAATTGCAACCATCATGTTTTACTACCCTGCAGTTCAGACCATAATTACGACAATGTGACGATTTCTTTAACTGTCTTGTTTTTTGCAGGATGTATCCTGGCATCTCCTCCATGAAAGTTTATTTGGATCAGTTGCAGATGACAAACGTTTAATGATGTAATAATGATATATTATTATTTAGCTACTAAACAATTTTTCATGACCAAAAGTATTTCGAGATCCATCAGAAAAAATCTGGTAATGTGTGAAATTGTTTTGTTGTATTTTAGATGGGACACTCGCCAGTCTGGAAGTAACAAACCAGCTCATAATCTTGAAGCACACACAGCAGAAGTGAATTGTTTATCATTCAATCCTTACAGTGAATTTATTCTTGCTACTGGTTCTGCTGATAAGGTATCAAAGCATGACAGCATAAACCTGTTGATAGGCATTCTGGAATTAGGCAATGAAAAGTTCAAAATTATATGGAAATTATGTGGAAAAAACAAGTTATGTGGAATGTCATCACTAAAATGTGTTGATTTTTCATGAAAAAAGTCTTTGTTGTTACAAAATATYTACATAACAATTTAATTGGCTCCTCTCAATTCAAACATATTTGATCCAGATATCTCCATTTTGTCAAGAACAAAAATTTAGATTGTTCTGTTTTTATTAAACAAAGAAAATTCTTATGCTCTTCAGACTGTAGCTCTTTGGGATTTAAGGAACTTAAATTTAAAGCTGCACTCATTTGAGTCGCACAAGGATGAAATCTTCCAGGTAAAACACTTGTCAGTAATTCTATTTAGTTGGTCAAGKTTGATTTAGCATTGTTGCTGTTCTTAGGTACAATGGTCTCCTCATAATGAAACCATTCTAGCATCCAGTGGTACTGACAGAAGYCTTCATGTCTGGGATCTTAGGTACTTACTGATGTTTTTACAAAGCATTATAATTTGCTAATTAACTAACAGAARGATTTTGATAACATTTTAGTAAAATTGGCGAAGAGCAGTCTGCAGAAGATGCTGAGGATGGCCCCCCTGAACTCTTGGTAAAAATTGTGTAAAAATTGAAACTACTGCTCAGAGCAGCTTTAAAACTCAAAAAAAAAAACATTCAAAACATTCTCAACACCCTGAAGATCAATGGGATGAAGGTTTATCTGAAAATCACTCATAGGAATTTCCCTGTAAGAGATTGAGCATTAGGGAGAAATATWTTTTGATTGCAAGGGTTTGGAAGCCACTCCACTCCACACTTCAGTGTTCAGAATCACTCCAGACGCACTTTTATGCTTAGATTACTACACCAAAGTGTTAGTAGTTTTTGAAGGCATTATTTCAAACCTTTTTGAACTTGATTAAAATTCAAAATTGACAACAGTCTTTTGATCYACTCATAATAAGTTTTGACTAGCTGTAAGTCATTTTGTTGCTTGTACACCATAAGCAGCATTTATTTGCATTTTCGTACTGGATTTTTCTACTCAATGTTTTCTGTATTTACTAGTTGTTTTGTCTAATCTACTAAATATATTTTTAGTAGGTTTTCTCATGTGTGTTATTATGAGTGCTATTGCTCCTTACTTAAGCCTAATTTCATCAATATGGTGTATTTTCAGTTTATTCATGGTGGGCATACTGCTAAAATCTCTGACTTTTCCTGGAATCCCAATGAATCATGGGTGCTGTGTAGCATTTCAGAAGACAACATAATGCAAGTTTGGCAGATGGTAAAAATAATCTTTATATTAGACGTATAATTTAGACAACATTCCATGCAAAACCTTTGTCAGATGAGTTTTAAAAGGAGTTTGAAGTGGAGGACACCTTGTCACTCCCCCAAATGGCCTCTTTCACTGCTGTTCTAGTAGACTTTCTGTATACTGGATGAATGTTTTTCATTTAATAATTTCATGTTGGGCATGTTTATTTTTATATTCTTCCTTCTACATGTAAATATATCTAAAAATATGCTTTTTACAATTACTTGAATTGCACTTTATATAAAGTATATATATTTAACATAATTCTCTAGGATCAAAATGAACACAATAATTGCCAATGTGAACAAGCCTAAATATCTGTCAAATAGTTGCATGGCATGCATGTGATAGTTAAGGCTGATGTCCAGCTGATATCCAGACATATTATGTTGTCTTTTTAGGCTGAAAACATTTACAATGATGAAGAAATAGAAACACCAGCATCTGAATTAGAAGAACCGGCTGCTTAGGGATCATCATTTGCCGTCTTCACAATGGCATTTGACTGCAACAGTACGCTATCCTGACCATATTTTGTACTTACATCAAGACATTGGCTCTACAGGTTTTTATACTGTTTTACTCTTATTGAATGTAAAAATTTCTTCATGTCCTATTGATTGTTAAGAACTGTTATTACAAGTGCCAACAAAATATGTCAACTATGTACATGTATGTCAAAGTTGATGTTCATCAGTTACTATATACATCATGCTGGAAACTTCTGATTATGCAAATTTTCTTTTCCCTTTTTTAAACTATTTTGTTATAACAAAAGGGTCACTGAAGTCGTAATACTTTAGCAACTGTAGCATTGTATTGTAGATATGTCTCTTTAAAATAAAGTAATGTAAGAATTGAAGTTCCAGACTGGTTTATTTCCATTTGTTGGAGTCCAAAATAATTCATGTAGAAACACATAATGTACACCATACAAACAATATGCCATATTTAATGCTTTCAAGCAAGAACACCAAWGGTGAAAAAAGTACTATTGGTTATTGTCATTAGTATTGCATCAGTTTGACTATGTCTTTGAACAGTACATTCGACACATCAATTTCTCTATTCGTTTTTCATGTCGTTCAACCATATAACAAATGTATTTTTGCGTAATTTTGGCATGGCTCAAATAGTTTTTAAACTTTGTTGCTATAAGTATTTGGTCAGTAGCCTCGGTTTTGGGAYCTGGAACCTGGTCTATTTGTTTTCTTATWACACAAAGCACTATCAAATTAGTCTTGTTAGTGCCAGTCAACGTGTGTCGGCTCTAATGACTTCACTCTACTATTACAGGCTGAAACATACTTTTGCAGATATAGTGAATAAAGTGCTGATGACAAGTATGTTATCAGTGCTGTATATGTGACCAGTACTCGTTGAAGTACTTTGGTAAAACAATATTCTACCCTCATTTCCCACCAACACTGGACTAACACTCTRAATGTAATTAGCTAACACTTCATTATCTCTGGCTGAACCAACTTGGTGTGWTACTCGTTTTTCCTTGATCATGGTAAATCCAGCTCCCCCATTAGCCATATATGAACTGACAATCACACTATATAGAGCAGTCTCATTCAGAGGTTGGTAAGTGGGCTCTCTGCATTGTGAACATACCATCTGAACACTTGTAACTCTTTGCCCTGTTGGTTTGCTGATATCATATTTTATCTTAATACCTAAAATTAACAAGAGCTCATTAAAAACTAGCAAGTTTCTTGATAAGCAAGGAGTATCCAGGACATTTGCAGTGATCTGGTAATCTATTGTTTTAAATGATAAACATAAATGCAAAAGAATCCAGGAGAAACAAGAACATTGCTCTAGGGGAGGGGGAAAACGGAAGGGAAGAGGTGTCAGGGAAGGACTGTTTTTCTCCTTCCCCCTCCCCTATTGCCGCTAGGCAGACTAACAAGAACATTAATTTTCTAACTCTGAATCAAAAGTCTTTTTTGTTTATTTTGTTTTTCCATTTTTTTTCTAAACTAATTTGAAGAGTGGTAAGTTAGTTGACTGTAATTTGGAAGCTCTGGAGCGTGTTCCAAACGCAGATTATCACGTGACAAATTAATGCAAATGACTAAAACAAGTGAGCAGAGACATAACACGTATGGATCCTGCAGATCGTTCATTGACATTAGCAAGCAAATTGTTTTCTATGTTAGAATTCTAAACTTAAAGAAGATTATTTTCAGAGMCAATGTCCACTTATGAGAACTTATTAGTGATAGCGTCCGCGCGTTCGCTTTCGACTCACTGCTAGTGGCAGAATACAGCGATGCAGCAGCCTACATCAAAAGAGACGAATTCTACGCAAGGTGAAGCATTCTTTGAATGTGTTAATTGATTCCTAAATTGCAAAAGTTATTTTTATCAGACATTATATTGCAATTTGGTATAACACACTACATATCTCAATTAGACCTACCTGATACTTGCAGGAAACGCCCTTGAGGCTCCTTATAATGGTAGGATGATACAGAGTGTTCAAACACACGCCTTAATACAGTGCCTGTCAGTTGAACTAAATCAATAGTGTTGCGGTATGGCAGACTATTTATTGTATGACCATATGTTATATATTCTGCAAGAAATGTCAAAATGCATGTTTCTTTTAAAGATGGAGCATTTTCACAAACAGTACAGGGTCGCAAAATTGCTACTGAACAGTGTAACTAATACTRCTTGTCTGGTATCCCTGCTAACCATGTACTAACGGTACTAACTGACCAATCCAAAGGAGATCTTACCATTTGGCAAGACGTCTATGGATGCTGTTATACTGCTACTAGTCGTAATGGCGATGCTTGCTTGTGTCCATTGATTGGTTGTTGATGTTTTATTGGCATAGTGAAATACCATCGAATCAGTTACAAGATTTCCTAGATTACATTCCTTGACACCACAGTCAACTCGGGCACCATTAAGATATACAAGTGACCTGCCTAGTTTCACCTAAATAATAACCAATAAATGATAACACAGGGATAGTGTTCGAGGGGAACAGGGTCGAAATAATCCTACGTATTAAAAGTATACACTAGACTAAATTAGATAAGTAAATTAATTTTCTAACTCCTCGCATTTCTTTGCGTTTAAAASAAACGTTTTTCTGACATCTATCATTTTTATGACAATGTTAAGGGTCTGGGCCTCCTAGTGACAAATCCTATGTAAGCCCATGTAGAAGCATGTATGTCGTTACTGCGCAATGTGCAAGCCTTGTTGTACTTAAAGGGATACTGTCGTTTCATCATCGAGCTGAATGAATCAGTCCTACGCCCATACACAATAGATGAGAACTTTTTGTAAAAATGACTGCTATTTTGTCTAATAATGCAAAAAAGCCCGAGATGAGATTTACCCAGGATTAGCTGTGTTGACCACAAGCAATAGATAGATGGAAGTGAGGGAACGCTAGTCCCCAGCTCTTAAAAAAACTGCTCCAACTTACTTTCGAAACATGGTCAACTCTTCRCTTCAAGCTCGTTATAATATTCTGTATCCTTGTATCCTTGGCAACGCTGTTATCCAATAAAATGGGCTGTCCGCTCCATTTAGTAACCTTCCCTTGGCTATCGAACTCGAGATCCAGTCTTCCTAAATAGACCCCATATGCATAAGCCTGGACTACAGGGACCTTAGAGCCATCGTTTGATTGGACAACTATTGGATATGGTCCTTTAGGTGTAAGTTCTTTGATAGGTGTTCCTTTATGATCAAAAACATTGAGCAAAGTTAATAGATTTAAAAACTATCGGTGATACTGACACAAAAATAACAACTACAACAATCCAGAAACGCACTAAGGACAGAAGGGTCCATGCCTTTTATGAATTCGAATATTTGAGTTTTTAGGTTTGTAGGTAAAATGTCGATGATTATTAAAAAACGATATATTAGACAAGAACCACTTCGTGGAACAYTACCGTGTCCAGGTTTTTAAAATACGTTAAGTGTAGAATTTTGCCGTGAAATTGACCAGCGTCGCGATCGATTTGATAGATTTTCGCGTATGATCTTTTCACATCAGTTTTTTTTAAATATTTTTATCATTGCAGAGAAAATTTAGCACTCGCATTGCATTCGCATTATCCTGCTCATAGAATTTATAAGACGAAAGTTTGCTTTGCATTTTAGAAAGAAAAAAAGAACGAGCATATTTTAAAGTTAAAGAAAGAAAGAAAAAAAATTGTTTATAGAAGCTGCTCGAGTCGAGAATCGAACCCGAGATCGACAGTTCAACGCCGCTATTCAAGTATGATCTTGCGTGTAAAATATGTAAAACAAATATCTACAGGAAAAATAAGAATAAGTATATTTCAGTAAAAAAAAAGAAAGAAGGAAAGAAAAAATAATCGAACCCGCGATCCTAAGTTCGACGCTGTACGATAGTCTGTGTAAAAATCAAAATAACAGCTTGAAAATAATTGTTAAACGAATATGTAGTCGAGGATCGAACCCTGAACTCTGGATTATGGGTCCCRT